ATATTTAATATAAATATCCCTATATTTAATATTTAATATAAATATCCCTATATTTAATATTTAATATAAATATCCCTATATTTAATATTTAATATAAATATTCCTATATTTAATATAAATATCTCTCCGTATATTATCCTAGCATATATTCTTAATTATAAATATCTTATATTGAATATTTCCCTAAATATATATTTATTTACTCTAATTAACTTATACTATATTTATTTACTCTAATTAACTTATACTAAATCTCTGCTTATATACTTTCCAACCCTTATTATTACCCCTACCTTATATCGTAACACATCAAGACTAAGTTCATTAACTCAAGTGATCAATTAACAGATATTTTCAATAAATCCTAACGGGAAACTGATAATTGATTATATTTGTAACAAGTTTAGTACATATGATTTGTATGCACCAGCTTGAGAGAGAATGTTAGATATATTAGATTGTTAGATATCTTAAATAAATATCTTATCTTTATCTTTTATTTATAGTTACTTTATTATTATTCTTTATTTGTATTTTGGGCTTATTCCATATTTTCTTTATTATAAATATAATATCTTATGTGTATTTTCTATACAAAGGAGACTAATCTCATACATAAGTTTTCACTATATTCAATAACTACCATGGTGTGATGCCTAGGTACTCTTAAATGGTTTGTGTGTACAAAGTACATACCTAATGTAGGCTGTTTGGTGCTCGGTACATTTTTGCTAGGAAATGAAAGATAAATGGTATTATTTTTTTCTCTTGCATTAAATGCCAACATCTTGGTCAAGCATTACAATGAGTTTACAACACTCAAATACATGCCAGCCTTGTAAAAGATACCTTTTTTTCCTCTAAATGAAAAAAACAGAGACATCATTGCTTTAAATCTTGTTCCCTCTTGTAATTCCACATTTTCTACATGTATTTTATGATTTAGTGACTTTGTTGTTTCTTTGTTTTTATATTTCTAACAATATACTCTTTCTCCCATACCTGTGCTCTGGTTTTATTTTTTTCCCTATATCTCATATCCATTATTTTTAGTCTTAATTCACATTATTTATCGTGTTGTGGTGCTTAGGTTTTGCAAATGAAACAAGCTTTGCAGAGATACAGTCACATATTGAGTGCAGATGATCATTATACAAGCTGGCAAGAGGTTCTATTCTTTCATTTGAACTGTAACATGTCTGATGTAGAAATTCTGTGCCAGTTTTATTCTTTTTCTCCAGAGGTTTCTATCTCATCTCTGTACATGATAGCTTGAATTAGAACTACCTGTAATTAATGCCAAAGCCAATAATATACTAGATTTTAGGGAACATTGTTGTCCTTTTCAATTACCTGTTTCCTATGGTCGCTCATATGCCCTCCTTAAAATATGTTTGTATTTCAGGTTGAAGCAGATTGCAAGGAAGATCCAGAGGGTCTGGCACTTAGGTTAGCTGGAAAAGGAGCTGTTTCTGCTGCACTTAAAGTGGCAGAAAGTGCAGGATTATCAATTGATTTACGGAGAGAATTGCAGGGGCGGCAGCTTGTGAAGCTTCTGACTGCTGACCCCCTTAATGGAGGAGGACCTGCTGAAGCCTCGCGCTTTCTTTCTTCATTAAGGGACACAGATGATGCTTTGCCAGTTGCTATGGGTGCAATGCAGCTTTTACCCAATTTGCGGTCAAAGCAACTTCTTGTAATCAAGCATTTATTTAGCATATTTTTACCTTGTTCAATTGTGTAAACTATTTTAAACTGTTCTTTGAAGTTTTGAAACTCAATCTCTCAAATGACCATTTCTGTATCTTTGAAGGTTCATTTCTTCCTGAAGCGAAGAGAAGGGAATCTGTCCGATGTTGAGATTTCCCGGCTTAACTCATGGGCTTTGGGGCTTCGTGTGTTGGCTGTCTTGCCCTTGCCATGGCAACAAAGGTGTTCTTCCCTGCATGAGCATCCTCATCTGATTATGGAAGTGCTACTGATGAGAAAACAATTGCAATCTGCGACATTGGTAATGCAAATTTACTTCAATTAGCAATAATTATTTTCCATCTACTAATTTATCTTGGAGTATTAATAGTAAGGTTGACAAAATAAAGATCTTGAAATACAGGAAACATGGGTTGTAAATTCGTACCTAAAATACAAAGTTGTGTTTAAATTTATATAGACATAAAGTAACAAAAAAAACTTTACATGACAACTCATAGCAACAACAACAAAATCCTTAAGTCACTAAGTGAGGTTGGCTACACTTCCTGTATTTCATTGGTTCAATTGATAGCCAAAATTCCTAGGGATATTATTTATGTAGTATTCCCTCTTAGCAATTTGTTATAATGTCCTTCGTGGTCTCCCTTTCCCCATCTTCACAACTAAAAGTCATCAATCTACTTTTTGCATTGATGCCTCCAATACCTCCTCCTATACAATCATTTTGTATCTTGTCCTTTTTTTGCTGTCACAATCTGTTCTAACATTCTTATTTTGCTACCCTCACCTTTTTCTCTTGTCCCTTTAGAGACCAGCAAATCACATATAACAATTATATATAAAGATTTTATATAACTCCGTACAATAACTTATCACTCAATTCACAAGCTTAATATCCTTATAGAAACATGTTGTAATTAGAAGAAATATCTATAGAATCTTTTTAATCAGAGAAAATATCTATAGAATTATCCTAATTAGAGAAAATAGGTGTATGATCTTCTAGATTATTTTTTAGTACATTGTTTCCTTAATTCTCTTTTTTAGAAGATTAGATTGCTACAAATAGAGGTAAGGAGAATGTAATTATTATTAATGAAAATAATAAAATCATTCTCTTTTTCAAGTAAACAACATAGTTTTTTTAACAACAGATGCCATAATTTCCAGACTTAAACTCAAAATTTACAATAGTAGAGTCTAACCTATATCTATTAAGATGTCAGCAACCATATTATCCACGAACCAAGCCCAATAGTGCTGGACATGGGTGTGTATTGAAAAAAAAGAAATCTAGTCCTATGTTGACTAAGGATTACGCCAAAGTAGTGTATATAACTGGTGTGTAGCCCTCACTTATGAGTCAATTTTGTTGTGTTGGGCTAGACAGAAATCCAAATTCTAAGATAGCCCAAAGTGGCTTCTAGATAATGACAGTCTTATGCATAACAAAAACTGTAACCCTTTAAAAAAGATGATGTGTATGAGAAATAGAGAAGATTGGGAGAGAATATCCCCTTGTGTTAAATACACACATAGGGTTATCTATTTATAATAAAAGAAATATGGGCTAAGCCCAAAATACAAATGAGAAAATAATAACTAACTAACTAAAAGATATAATATATCTAACAATGTGTATTCGAGAGAATAATTTAGCGTTAAAGACACTTTCACTTCTTAAAATTCAACCCTTCATCCTGTACTAGATGTTGGTGAAGAAAATATAGGGTGGCAAGGAACGTAAGCATAGATTGTTGGCGTGAGTGATTATGTTGGGAACAAAGAACCACTCATGCTGTTATTGAGAGCAGCAAAGAACATAGTTGTAGATCGCTGGTTTGCAAGATTGATAATATCGCCGGTTTGTAGAGTGGAGACAGATGAAAAGCAATGAACCATGACAGATGGATAGGAAATTGAGACAAGGATAGTTTGGGTCAAAACCACTTAGGTCATGGTTCTACTGTTCAACTCTTCAAAGTTACAGCAGCTTGTGAAGATTGGTTATTCCATCATTGGCACAATCTTACCTAACTATCCAGCCCTCAATCTTGTGTAGAAATGGGACTCAGCCTCATGAGAGCATAGTAGAGTTGGACCATCCTATGCGCAAGTGAGTGATTTTTAGAACTATGATAGTGAAACATTTCGGATACCCCTGCCTTATGTATGACAAGTTTATGTTTGTAATTTTTATGCAACATTTTGTTCACTCGTCTAAATTACTTATCTCTCATTCAATGTAATGTTTTCCTGTATTTTTGTAGATATTAAAGGAATTTCCTTCTTTACGAGACAATCATGTGATTACTACATATGCAACTAAGGCTATTGCTGTCAGTATCAGCTTGCCTCCTAGGGAACATCGCATATCTCTTACAGGATCCAGACCAAAACAGAAGACAAGATCAGGTGCCCCACAAAGATCATCCTTTACGAGCAGTCTAAGTAACTTACAAAAAGAGGCTCGTAGAGCTTTTTCATGGGCTCCAAAAAATACTGTGGAAAAAAACGCTCCTAAAGATGTTTATAGGAAAAGAAAAAGCTCGGGATTGTCTCCCTCTGATAGAGTTGCTTGGGAAGCAATGACTGGAATACAAGAGGACCGTGTTTCATCTTTTTCAACAGATGGGCAAGAGCGGCTTCCTTCCGTTTCAATTACTGAGGAATGGATGCTTACAGGTGACCCATCAAAAGATGAAAGCATTCGTTCTTCTCACAGATATGAAAGTGCCCCTGACATCACATTGTTCAAGGTATAGTAATGAGATGATCTTCCAGTAGGATATCATGTTAGAATTTACTGCCGTTGCTTTGTTACTACTGATAGTGTTAACTGAAGCGATTGTAGTTGCTTAGTGTCTTCATAGGATGTCTTATTTCATTTAAGCTGACTCCTTGGGTTTCCACTCCATAGGCACTGCTTGCTCTTTGCTCTGATGAATTAGTGTCCGCCAAAATAGCCCTTGACTTGTGCATTAATCAAATGAAGAATGTCTTGAACTCTCAGCAGTTGCCTGAGAATGCATCTATGGAAACAATTGGTCGAGCATATCATGCCACAGAAACATTTGTCCAGGTATTTAATGGGAATAGAGTAATTTATTCATTTTAGGTTCTATCTGTGGTTAATAATGATGGGTCTTAGGTAACACATTTATTGCTTTACTTGCACTGTAAGATGTTGGAATTGCTGTAAATGTCCATCATTAGCATTTTCTTGTAATGAAAAATGTAATTAATCTAATGTTAAATTTGCAGGGTCTACTTTATGCCAAATCATTGCTAAGAAAGCTTGCAGGTGGTAGTGAATTGCCAAGTAATTGGGAAAGAAATAGAGATACCGATGACACATCATCTGATGCTGGTAGCTCCAGTGTGGGTAGTCAATCCACAGATGAGCTTTCTGAAATTTTGTCACAGGCAGATAGGTGGCTGGGTCGCGCAGAGCTGCTGCAAAGCCTTTTGGGATCAGGGATTGCTGCTTCTCTTGATGACATAGCTGATGGAGAGTCATCTGCCCATCTTCGTGACAGATTGGTTGCAGAGGAACGGTACAGCATGGCTGTTTATACTTGCAAAAAGTGTAAGGTAGACAAATCCCCTGCCTACCAGTCTTGCTCTTTTATGTATTAGAAGTGCTTGATTTATGTTATTATGGGTTTTAAAGAAAGAATATTGCTCTTTAGATTGATGTCTTCCCAGTGTGGAATGCATGGGGTCATGCGTTAATTCGGATGGAGCGCTATGGACATGCTCGTGTGAAATTTAAGTATGTTAACCTTTTTCTGGTGATTATACTTTTGCTAGTTCATCATTAAAGCTTTGAATCAATTTTAGTGTCAGGACTCAAACGCAGTTAAATATTATATATCTATTTAGGACAGGGGTGATATACAAATTATATATCTATCTCATTTCAGGCAAGCTCTTCAGTTGCACAAGGGTGACCCTGGACCAGTTATTCTAGACATTATTAATACAATTGAAGGTGGCCCTCCAGTTGATGTTTCAGCTGTTCGTTCTATGTAAGATGTTATGCATTTATGTTATATTTCTTTTTGCTGCAATGTACTAGAGTTTTTATTGTTAAATCACAGACAAGAGTCAAGAATGTCTCTACATTTGTATCATATATTTGCATTGTGTTCCCTATTCAAATTTATATTATTTTATCTTTTTGGTTGAAGGTGTTGTTCCGATAATTAGATGACTAGATGTTTTTACATCTGGGTTTTTGCTGCTAATTTTACAAAAAGTTATCTGATGTCTCGGCACATGTTTTGTTGTACTCAAGTAAAATCCTAAACATGTTTATGCTTTCACTTCTGACTGGTAAAGCTGGTTAGTTCTATAAAAGTATTGATTGTGATTATTGCTTGCTGGGAAAAGGAAGGAAAAATGGTTAAAAATGGCACCTCTGGATTCTTTACATTGCACAGAAGTAAATTTGACTATGTTTTTGCTTCAGGTATGAACACCTGGCTAAAAGTGCACCCACAATCTTGGATGATTCTCTTTCTGCTGATTCATATCTCAACATCTTATACATGCCATCAACATTCCCTCGTTCAGAGAGGTCAAGACGTTCACAACTGTCTGCAAATAATAATTCTGTGTATAGTCGAGACTTTGAAGATGGTCCTCGGAGTAACCTGGATAATACTAGATATGCTGAATGTGTTAATTACTTAAAAGAGGTGAGGATAACTATCCCTTGTATCTCAATAAATGGATCATAAATGCTTTCATAACTTCACAGTTTGCTTAATATTTTGTCAAATTAAAATAGCTACACATTATTTTTAAAAATGTTTTTAGATTTTGGGCTTATGTAGCAAGTCTTTATTCTACCTTTTTTTATTGTTAAACTAAAATTTAAAAAGTTTGACTAATCCATGTTTTTAATATATATGTTTTAACTCCCCCATAATGGTATTGTGTGACAATTTCTGACCCAAGCCTCGCTGTGGTGGTGCCTTAGGGTGCAGTTGTGTGTTTATATGCCAAAATTTGGCCTTATGCCTCCATTGATAATCTTGTTTATGTATATATATGGCTTAAATATGTATTTAGCTCATGTAAAATTTTCTTTGATTTCATCCTTGTAAAAGGTTTTTGTTTTTTGGTTTTCATCCCTATAAAGCTTGAAATTTGCTTTTGGTCCCCACTGCCATGCAATAATATTTAACTATTTGTGTTTAGTGGAAGGTCAGGTGACTGTTCATAGGTAACACATGATAGAGCTATGTTCTATGTCAACATGAAGTATGTTATAAAAATTTCTAGATGCCTAAACTTAATGTTATCCATCAACCTTAAAAAGAACTTTAGAAACCAAAAATAGTTACTTTAGATTGGAGGGATTAAAAACCAAAGAAAAATATTTTAGAGACCAAACAAAAAATAGGTTCATCTTATAGGTGATAAAAACAAGCTTAGGCTTATATGTATATGTGTGTGTTAGTCTCTATATATAGAGAATTATAATCCTAAGGTAATAATTACATGATCTCTAAGAATCTTCTATTAGCTTCTAGTAATACGTTTAATATTCTACCAACTTCTAGTAATGATTTAATATCCTACTCACAACAATATATTATTGGGACTAAAGTGGTTTAGGCTTTATTCAACTATATAAAATCAACTTGTAAAATGAAGATTGTCTCCACTTGGGGTTTTCCCAGTGCATTATCCATTATGTCTAGCATTATTGAGCTTGATACGAGGATAACATGGTAAGTGACTCATTTAGTGACTTTGATACCATATTACAAAATGAATTTAACTTAACCAAACAAAACTAGCTTATGAGATGAAAATTGTTCCCACTTACAACAATATATTATTGGGACTAAAGTGGTTTAGGCTTTATTTAACCGTATAAAATCGACTTGTAAAATAAAGATTGTCTCCACTTGGGTTTTTCCCAGTGCATTATTCATTATGTCTAGCATTATTGAGCTTGATATGAGGATAACATGGTAAGCGACTCCTTTACTGACTTTGATAACATATTATAAAGTGGATTTAACTTAATCAAATAAAACCAGCTTATAAGATGAAAATTGTTTCCACTTACATTCTCTATTTTGGATGTCTCTAAGTGATATGGGACTTGTGTTCTTTACAATTTGCTTGCAACTTTTGGATTCCCTAATGGTTGTTTCAAATTTTGCAGTATGCACGCCAGCATTTGCTTGGCTTTATGTTTAGGCATGGTCACTACCATGATGCTTGCTTCTTGTTCTTTCCCCCTGATGAAGTTCCCCCACCACCACAGCCATCAATAACAAGTGGAGTGTCTTCTTCATCACCCCAACGACTAGATTCTTTGGCAACTGATTATGGAACAATTGATGATCTGTGTGAATTGTGCATTGGTTATGGTGCTATGCCTATTTTGGAGGAAGTCCTTTCAACTAGAATGTCATCAACTGAATCTCAGGATGCAGCGGTGAATCAGTATACAATGACAGCCCTTACCCGTATTTGCCTCTATTGTGAAACTCACAAGCATTTCAATTATTTATACAGGTTTCAGGTATAAAATTTTACTGGGTCTGCCCTTTATCTTTGGAGAGCATAGTGTCTGCATTTTTCATTTGGAACACAAAAGACCATTTAGAGTTTGTATGGTAGGATTGCTGTTTTTTCCAAAATTCTCTTGGGTCCTGTAACAAGTTTCCTTTTCTTTTTTTATTTTCCATTTAGTATGGTTCTTGTCAGTGATCATTAAATTCTTACTCTGTCCTATATTATTCAAAACGCAATGGCTAACCAATGTTTGTCCCTAGAGTGTAAAACATTTTTAGAAACACAGTCTTGGACAACTTGAGAACCTGTACGTTATGCAAGTTAGTGCCAATGCCCGCAAATATAAGAGACTTCTTGAGATATATCCGAAAATCTCAAACCTAATATCCACAACAATTCATAAAAGATGCATAAACACATTACCTCCTTTATAACAACCTTATGCAACCAAGGAAAGAGGTTGTCAACTAGAACACAGTTTCCTGCATGGAGCAAAACTACATTTTTGTGTTACTTATATTATCTGCATGCAATAAAATGTTTCATCACCACAATAACAGGCTTTCATACACGTTGTGACTTTTTAATTTTTTTTTTTATGGGGATCTTTTTAGTTTCTAATGATGTACAATATTTAGGTAATCAAAATGGACCATGTTGCTGCTGGACTGTGTTGCATTCAGTTGTTTGTGAATTCTTCTTCACAAGAGGAAGCCAATAGACATTTGGAACGTGCCAAGGTATGTCCATAATTTAATAAAATAAAAGGCAAAGATGGCATGCTAAGTGGATTGTGAGCTTGACTTAATCTTACAAAACTAATTTGGAAAATGATGTTTGTACTTATTTATATACTATAATTTGGTCATATGTCTAATCGATGTGAAATCTTTAAGAATGCTTATTTTGTTCAATTTATAAGTAATGATTGGCTTACTTTTCTAAGTACCTTCTTTTTTTCTTCAAGTACATTCTACATGCTTTGTTTTGAGCACCTTGTTACAAAATAGAACATTAAATTTAAAGAAGAGCTTGAGTGATTAAGTTGTTATGATTAAGAAGGCAAAAGGATATCATTATGGGACATAATCTGGAATTGTGGTTGGTTCAGTGAACACTAATTAAGGTTGAGGTTACAGTTAACTTATCCAGCTAGATATCACTCTTCGTTGCTAACTTATGGAGGTTGATTTTTTTGAAGTACCAATATGGATTCACCCTTAAATAGATTCTTTTCTTTTGGAAAGAAGGAAGAAGGTGAATCGGTATGTTAATTTCATGCCTGTGTCTCTGGGCCGAAAAAGAAGCTTTGATTGAATTGAGAAAAATTCTATTGAAATTGAAATGTTAAATAGGTATACCCTTACTCTTAAGATTTAAGATTGCATTGATTGGTGAAGGTCCCACTAACCAAAATGCAAGAGTTTGCCCCTCCCATGAGATCTTTCGAGGTATATCCTGTTAGTAGATGCAGAACTTAAGTCAAAGCATTTTTTAGTCACAAGATAGTTATTAAATGGTTAGTGATGCTCCTGGATTACATATCATAAACTGAACAACGGCCAAGAAGAGGAGTTTGGGAGTTATAGAAGAAAGGGCAAGCATTCTTTCTGTGCAGACAACTTTCTTATTTGACTTACAAAGCCAAAAGAAGCCTTCTGTCCTCAGATCCTTTTACTTGTAAATTCTTATAAATTTACTAAGAAAATATGCAACAAATCATAAAAAGACATTTCATTATAGCAATTATAATAATCTTATTTTACTTATGTTATTATTTGTTAATAACTCTTTGTTTCTCTGCTTATTGATATAGATGCACTTTGACGAAGGATTGTCTGCAAGGCATAAAGGTGGGGAATCTACTAAGCTTGTAACAAAAGGTGTTCGAGGAAAAAGTGCATCTGAAAAGCTTACAGAAGAAGGTCTTGTAAAATTTTCTGCCCGAGTATCAATCCAGGTAATCAGATATGCTCAAATCCAATACTGAATTCTAAGTGGTTTAACTATCAACTTCTAAGAGTAAATTTGCCTATACGGTAATGGACATGCAAATATCTTTGGCTGCTTAGCTGTCAGACATTTTTTTTTGGTAAGCTTTGATTCAAGGCATTTTACCTCTTCTTTAAATTAGAGTTCTGAAATAATTCGTTTTAGTTTTAATTTTTCTGCTGTTCAATATATTTTGATGAAGAATGGTTTGTTAAATCCTATGGTTATGCAGATTTGTTGTATTTTGTAGGTTGAAGTTGTTAAATCCTTTAATGACTCGGAAGGACCACAGTGGAAACATTCACTTTTTGGGAATCCAAATGATCCAGAAACTTTTAGGTCTGTTCTATTTTATGTTTTATTCAGCAACTTCCACTATCCATTTCTCTTTAATTGGGTTAGTTCAATTTTTTGAGAATTCACAGTAAAAAAGTTTGGGTGATAGCACATGAATCTTTGTTAAATATTTAGCGTCAACAACATTTGCTGAAATTAACCTATTATTTAGAAGAATGGGGGTTAAACTCATAACGACGTGATTCGATACGTCATAAAGCATCTATCCTAGAAGCTATACTGTTTGGTTAAAACACATAAAAGTATTTAGATGGATTGCAGAACAAGATATATTATATCTTTCATCTCAAGTATTTTGAAGTCATTTGATATTGATAGGGTCAACTGTGATTATAGTGTTCTTAATGATTGCTAAAGTTAACTGTAGAATGCTATATGGATCTTTCCACTGTCTATATTACATGCATTTACATGTTTCTGTTGTGATATGCAGTATTTCTATTCACATAATGACAATTATTACAAAAGCTCATGATATTTTTAAAATTTCAGACGAAGATGTAAAATTGCAGAGGTTCTTGTCGAGAAGAATTTTGATTTGGCATTCCAATTGATCTATGAATTCAATCTTCCTGGTTACATTGCTTTTTCCCTCTTTACAATCTGGCTCTGTTTTCTTCGTTTTTAGCTCCACAATGTTTTTTCAGCATACTTATCTAGGTCTTTTAATTGTATCATGCAGCTGTTGATATATATGCTGGTGTTGCTGCATCTCTTGCTGAGAGAAAAAGAGGCAGCCAATTGACAGAATTCTTTAGAAACATCAAGGGTACAATAGATGACGATGACTGGGATCAGGTAATCCTAATTTATTTTACTTTTCTTTTTCTACTACTCTTAAAACACCTTTTTTTATTCTAGTTTAATGATTTAATAATGTGTCTCAAAAGTTCAATGACTATAAATCTTATAGCATGTATTTGATTCTACCAGATTTATAGACCTAAATTTTCAAAATTCCACTTCTAAAAAGGGAGCTCAGCTCCTTACACTAGAATGTTTCTGTAACAAACAATCCCAAAACATACAGCATGGCATACCAGGGAAAGCGGAAACAAAAAAGGACATGGAAAATAAGATTTGACACTAGACAAGTGCCACTCCTCCAGGCCAAAGGCCTCCTCCTTCCCAAATTCTTTGATGATTTCCTCATATTTCAGCTCCTCCCCTATCATTCCTCTGGTTGTTTTGCCCATGATTCTCCAATTCTGTCTTTCGAACTTTCCATACACTTAGTCATTTCTCTGATCCAACCAAATTCTCCATTCCTTCACTCCCTTTCATCCTGGTGGAAATATATGCCTAAATTTATGCAGTTTGGATTTGAATAATTTGGTTGTTTCGAAATTTAGGAATAGTTTACAAAAGAAACAGAATATTATTCTTAACATTTAGATTTTAGGACCTTTTCAGTTTGATTTTATGATTAGGATAATGTTAATATTTGAATTGGGTTACACTTTTTCTCCACATACAGAGCACGTGAACTAAAAGTTTAATAACTGCCTCCACATTACATATCACCTCTTAAAACAATAGTTTCTATATAAAAAAAAAAAAAATCTATTTCGGACCTTGTTCTCTTTTTTATCCTCTCATATCCAACAGCCCTTTTCTACAGTTAGGGTTATGTTTCTGTTTCTTTCCTCCCCTGTAAATGTGTCTTTCTATGATCCGTCTACCACCCTCTTTTAAAATTGTTTTAAATTATTGTTCTGTTAATGGTGAAACTTGACTGTATACAGTAGGTTCGTAGAGTCCTATATAGACATGAGCTTTATACTGTCAAAACAGGTTAGGAGACTAAAATGTGCTTTTTCTAATCACTTGAGGTTATGGTTTATTATTAGTGATTCTTGGTCCTGTTAAAAGAGGGAAGTCTATCTATTGTATCAAGGGAACTTATCTTAAAGAAATATTTTGAACATTTTCAATGATGCAGGTGTTAGGTGCCGCAATAAATGTATATGCTAATAAGCATAAAGAGCGTCCAGACCGTCTGATAGACATGTTAACTAGCAGCCACAGGTGAGGGCTTTTATCTATTTTTCTTCATGCACCTCCTATATTTTTTTGGGGGATCGGGGGACTTTTTTTTATTGAAATGTCTTTGATATGTTTATGATCCATCTTCATTCCTTAGAAGATTTAAGGGCAAAATTTTGAAAGTCTTACATTTACTGTCATTTTTCAAAAGAGAACTAGACAAACAGTTTCTAACTATAATGCTCTCAATACATGATGCCAGGTGCCTTCTCCATAGGCTTTTGTTTGTATTTATTCTGATAGAACACCAATTGATAAAGTAAAAAAATATAATATAGAACACTGATCACACAATACAACGATAGACTGATAGTTCAGAAACGAAGGTCTCCTGTCACATACAGTGCGGCAATACCTTTGCTGTCCCAGATACAAAGTATCCTACAAAGGGTATTCTGTCTACAAACTACAAACAAATAACTTCACACTTCCCGATTACTCAGCTTTCCATCAGATATACTCCTATTACATAACTACTAGCTGTTATTTTCTATAACTATGTCATCCTGCAATTTTTAATATAATAAAATATAAAAGTAACCTCACCCAGTTATTGTGTACACATAATCCTAGAATTTATAATGCAGAACTGTTTTCTAATTCATTTTCTAAACAACTCTCAGAACTGCCCTGAACTGAGTGTCCATCAAATTCACTGCTGTAACATGTTTTGCTTTATTTTTGAATTGGTCATGCAGGAAGGTTCTTGCTTGTGTAGTTTGTGGTCGATTAAAAAGTGCATTTCAAATTGCTTCAAGGAGTGGTAGTGTTGCTGATGTTCAATATGTTGCGCATCAGGTAAACTATCTATATCTATTTTAGCCTCATCCTTTGATTTCTTTTTTAGTAACTTTCCAAATGGAAACTTAACTAATCAGCTACATTGAATAAAACTGCCAATTGAGTTTTACTGTTAGATAATCCTCACTTGTAGTTAGTTATGGGGGTTAACCCAACATCTACACTGAATCCTAAACTCCAAATACATATCAGCTTGGATTGAATACCCTACATATGTGTGTGTATTCTAAATTGTCATATTCGAACTGCAGATGAACATGTCTTTCAATTGATAATAAATCTGGTATCCAGGCTTTTTGGTTTATCTGTATCTGCTTGTAAATTGAGTGGTCGGATCTTCTGATTAATCTCATCTGTTGCCTCGAGGTTGATTCATTCTACTTGTGTCACATGGATTATCTAACATTGGGCCTGTTTTCTATCTTTGATTCCGGCATGTTACAAGCCATTTCCAAGTTTGGATTCGCATTATTGATAGCTTTTTCTAACTGTATCACCCAGTTAATAGAAATTGTGCTTTTTCATTTCCTAAATTATGAAACGGAAAATAATGATTGACTAACAATTAGGAGGGATTATTATGACTTTGTGGGTACTATTTTGTGATCTGCCATGAATTTCAATCTGCCCGACATTTTTTCAACCACCACTGTAAGACCACTGATTAGATTTTCCAACCTCTGAAACCACTCATGTTTATTTTCTGCTTTCTCTTTGTCGAAGAACTTCTTGGAACATGCTCTCTAATGCGTCTAATCTGGATTCCATCCTGGTATTGACCATAACCCCCCACACAATCACCACAGTACCAAGACCGATGCTCTAGTTGATAGAATTGCATATTAAGAAATGGAAATACAAGACTCTCTGTCTTGTAATTTTTTATTGCTTGACTACAATTCGGCTCCTACCAATGTAGTACTGGTATAGAATGTTAACAAAGTATTCTCTCACTAAGATTGTTCGAGAGAACTTCACTCTCTACAATTCTTCTAAACTCTTCCTTCCCAAAATCTGCTGGCACACCACCCTTATTTATTTCGTCTCTTATATACTATACCAAACTTATCAATAAAATTGATAGGAAACCACAGGAAAAGTAATAAAATAAGAGGAAAAGAGAATAAAGAAAGGATCACTGATCCTGTTTCATTGAAATCAAGGCAAAAACAGAAAGAATAACCCTACTGCCAGAGCTAAGCTTCTTAAGAGAACCAACCGGTACTCTCCACTCTTAATTTTGTTAAAAATAGAATGTCCACTCCCACACGCTCCTCTGACACTATAAAGGTCACAACAAAAAGAAAAATCTTCTAGGATCTTCCAATTTCTCTCTCTCTAACTAATTCTTCTACTGTGTCCACCTCAGCCCCTTTTATTTTTTCTCCTAATATAAACTTGTCCCCATTTCCTTTGATCCTCTGTTTCATTGTTCAATATATTTTCTGGCCCAACAGATGGTTGGGCTGTATCAAAAATCGTCATGTTATTGTGTATCATTGTATACAGTATATCCTTCTCTTCCATTGCCGTGTTTTTCTACTAAGATTTCATATATTGCCTTTTAAAAAGTTAACAATTTGTTATGCATATGATTTCTAATCGGCAATCACTTGACGAAAAATCTCAGTTATAAAGGGAGGAAGTCCATCTGATCTCCTTGGAAAGAACCTGATGCTAGATTCAATGTCTACGAACTTGTTATTCTCATCTTTTTTTCTCCCAACTCCCTATAGTGCATCCAATGAACTGAAAAATTGAGAAAAATACATTTCTTTGATTACTACAGCTCCTGTTATTTGGTGTGCTAGTACTTGCCCTGGGTTTATCAATACCACCTGCACATTACTTATCAAGAATTTTCTTTTTATCATGGGTGAACTTGACAGTATTTTAATGGCCTGTAGACATGTATTTCTGCAAATAAAATGTTCTATTTTTCTTAAATTACTATCATTCTTCGTGCAGGCACTGCATGCAAATGCACTTCCCGTGCTTGATATGTGTAAGCAATGGTTGGCTCAATACATGTAACCAATTGCTAGAAGAATCTGAGTGTCCAAAGCGCATATTTTGGTTTATTTATTCAACATATGTCGAGAAAACTGGAGTTAGATCATAACCGCTTATCGGAAGAAGTGGAATCAACCAAAGCAAATGTTTACCCGTATTTATTTTAAAAATCAGAATGTCTTATTTTGTTTCATTGATTTCACAGTTGAAGTTGGTTTATTGATCTTGAGGTATATACAACATCCAAGTTCGTCTAGCATGTGCCTGGTATTGCTATCGTTGCCAGGTTTGAAAGATTAGTTGGAGATAAATCATCACATGCCCTACGCAGAAATTGATCCAATTTTATCCTTGAATCTCAAACAATCACTGAATTTTGGGACCATCAGAATGTGAGCAACGATACATCAAGTTTTTACCCGCTCAATAAATATGATCCTCTTTCAGCCGACAAAAGTTACTCTTTTAATACGACATTAAGAAGAAATCTACAATATTTAGTACAATTTGGATCTTTTAGAATAGAATATTTGTACATGAATTTTGAGCTTTTCTCATTGTATCAAAGTTAGTTGTAAAGATGTCATTAATTTGATTTTACGACTGTCTGTATTTGCGGGTACCATCTCATCCCTAATTTTTAAGCTTATATAAACAGCTTTTACATTTTTTTAATCAGTATATATTAGAATAACTGCCATTAATTGGGGTACCGTCTTTTCACTTTTTTTTTTTAAAAAAAAAATGAACAATAAAGAGGTCTGCTACGTCCATAACTCTACGTCCTGAAATGCCCGTTATGTAACCATTTTATCAAAGTATATAATAGTTCATCACGTAATTGTTAAGATAATTTCATTATTAAATCATATGAAATATTTGAGACGGGATTTAGATTCATGTAGGAAAAAACACCTTTGACATGGTCCGTTTGGATTTATATAGAGAAGCTTTTGATTATATATTACAGTTAATAGTTTTTTTCCATGGAAAACCACCTGCACTGAGGAGTTTTGTCTTGTTATGTTCTGGAGGTTGACATATCCTTGGATCACCCGTACAACATCTCTAAGCTCCATATAAAAAGTTCTCTTTGTGCTAAATTATGTCGTTAAGTTGTACTACATATAATTGAGACTCTGAAGTCTCAACAAGAACCAGCTGTGTTTTTGTTAGCAGAATAAGAAGCCAAGGTCTTGCCTTGTGCATATCTGTAACAAGAAAAGTTTTGATCTCTCTCTCTCTCTGTCATACTAACTCAGAAAGCCATTTTGTCAGACGTTGGCTCAAAGAATGTCGATGTCGTCTAAAGAGAGAAGATGCTCAAGCAGCGAAATGGCCTCTGTTTCAAGTACCATCTTTCCAGTATTTTGCACCCCCATCTTTGATGTAGAAGGTTACTCCAACCTAAGAAAACACGTCATTGCTCCCTATGACCGTATATATCAGTACGTTTAACTAATTTCCTTCACACAATTAGTTATTCAGTTTATTATATAATATATATGCATTAATTGTGGAATGGAATTGCAATTTACACGTAGATTGTGGCAAACGTTCGTAGTGGCTTTGGTAGTGTACTCTGCATGGGCATCTCCATTCGAGCTAGCTTTCAGAGAACTGTTAGTTGGGTCATATTTGACCGTTGTTGATCTCCTTGTTGACGCCTTCTTTGCAGTTGATATAGTCCTTACTTTCTTTGTGGCTTACTTCGATACATCAACGTATCTCCTCGTCGACGATCATAAGAAGATTGCTCTCAGGTTCGTATATATACCCATCCATGTGGAGAAGTTTTATCATTTTACAATCTTTCCTGCATGTACCCTATATTTAGTTTAAACGCACATATTTTTGTTCTATTTATGGAAATTTTTTGCATTTTGATTTCAACAGGTACGTCAAAAAGCTGCACTTCACTATGGATCTAGCCTCCACTCTGCCAATTGAGAAGATATATCAAATTCTGACGGGCAAGCCAACCAGAAGCGAGGTATTTGGTTTCCTAATTATGCTAAGACTCTGGAGATTGAGGCGTGTTAGCGAACTCTTCGCGAGGTACATTCACAAACGAAGTGCAGTTAGAACGAAATAGAAAGCGAGAAACGAAAATAAAAAGATACAAAATCTTGATTTTATCTACCCCATTACATACTTGATTTTTTTTCTATCTTTCTTCTTATCACATCTATAAACTATAAATCTATCATCTTTATTCTCTTTCTAAGTATATAGTAAGTGTTAATACAACTTTTTAGTGTCTATAAATAACTTTTCAAATAAAAAAAACCCACTCAAATTTATACCTCTTCATTTCTCTTGTGGGAAATATGTCCACCTCTTTTCTGTTGAGGGAGTAAACTGTGAAGATATAATTGGACTATAGGAGTGTCTGAGTTTATTATATACTTAGTAAATATCAATCGCATTCAGGCAAGTTCACTTTAAGTGTGCACCTAATTTTGAAATTGTGAATTTAAAAAAAACAAATGTGTTTATAGCATATTTAAAGGCCGAATATGTCAAAAGTTTAGATGTAAAATTCGTATATTATCCAGTTATTCCTTATAAAAGCTATTAATTCATTTATTTCCTACTTTTTTTAACATAAAAAAGCCCTTCATAATCTTTTTCACAGGGTTACTTATAAATGAATTGTACTAAGACTTCAAATGGCTCTATGAGCCTACTTCCTAATCTACCTTCCTAAGCCCTGCCACAGGAGATGGCTTCAATTATATCATTGTGTGCAAATTATTGTACTCAAACTAATTATTAATATTAACAAATTTAAATATACGAGGGAAAGTGTAGATAAGATCATATGGTGGTGATAAAAGGTGACAAAAGAAATATAAAGAAGAATAAGGAATGTTTGTAGATTATACAAGTACTATCAATCATCCATTAAGCAGAAAAAGAAATGATCAGGATTTCCTATCTGTAACTGAAACTGAAAACCCTTTCCCAGGCTAGAGAAAGACATACGAATCAATTATTCTGCAACAAGATTTTGCAAACTTATATGTGTAAGGAAATTTCTAAATCTTTTGTTTTTGAGCTTATCTTCATTTAGCATTTTTTTATTAATGTAGTAAGCTCGTCCATGCTTCCTATTTCATTTGGTTTATCACAGGTTACACTATTTGCAGCACACTTCGCAGGCTGCATGTTTTTTTGGTTGGCTGTCCAGCACAAGACACCGAAACACACATGGATCGGGAACAAAACACAGGATTTTCATGAATTGGGCGTCGGGTTGGGTTACACTTATTCTGTGTACTGGTCTGTTTCAACCCTTACCACCGTTGGATATGGAGATTTTTATGCAGTAAATTTAACGGAGATGCTTTTCTCCATTTTTTACATGCTCTTTAACATCGGCCTCGGAGCATATATTATTGGAAACATGACAACTCTGTTGGTTCATAGCTCTGTCGGAACCTTTGCCGTGGTAAGTGTTACGACGACTTCTATGATCGTTTAACTCTTAGCTTTACATTTGATAACCCTTAACGCAGTAATCATGCTTCTAATAAAAGACTTATCTGAATGGCTATACCAAAAGATCATGACAGCTTCACAATTTCCTCTTTTTATACCATCATCTAACAACTATATATTATTATTATTATTTTCTTTTAAAATATATATTATTATTACAATTTTCTTTTAAAATTTATATATATTTTTTAAAATCAAAAAGTGGTTGCCAAATATAAAAGTAGGTGTTAAATGATAATTTCCCTGCCAAAAACTAATACATTTTACCTCCAGGCTTCACAGAGGGATGTCTTCAACAAAATATTACAGTATGCAAACAAAAATAGACTCCCGGGACGATTAAAGGAGCAAATATTGGCACACATGCAATTGAAATTTAAGACTGCAGAGTTACAGCAAGAAGTGTTACAAGACCTACCTAAAACTATAAGATCCAGTATTGCTCAGCATCTTTTCAAAAACATTGTTGAAACAGCATATTTATTCAAAGGAGTTTCTGATTATTTTATCACTCAGCTGGTAAAACTTCTTGTTTCAGTTCTCTTCTCTTTTTCCTCTAGGTAGCGATATTTTGAACATCTCAACAGTAACCAAATTTGAAATCATGACACTAAACAAACAGGTCTCAGAAACAAAGGCAGAATACTACCCATCTAAGGTTGACATTATCTTGCAAAATGAGATGCCAAAATATTTCTACATCTTGTTATCTGGGTCACTGGTAAAAATCTATTGCGTATTCAAATCCTACCCTCTTAACAAGGTTTAACTGCTAACTAACTGAACTATTCCGCAGGATGTGTTGATATACAATACTGGGTCTGAACAGGTAAGATGAGATCTGCCAAGCGATTAATTTAAGGGTATATATAACATATTCAAAAGAAAGTAAAGAGGTAATAACTCCTAGATACCTAGTGAATGGAAAGAGTAGTGCATAAACCACTACAAAGCATCACGCCGGAGAAAATGTTTCAACTTTAAAGAGGATAAAATATTAGTCTCATTTAGACTAAAGATATAATAACAATTGATTTGCATCTGAAATCAGGGAATCCTTGTATTAAATATTAGATATAAGAACACGTCTGAACTATAGAGAATAAAAGAATTTCATAGACCGCATGACATTCACAACTAATGTGTTAACCTGAGTATAAGTCATTTTGGAAGATCAGGTTTTCTTGACAAAATAAGAAGCTTTTTTCAATATTCTAGCTCTGCCCGATAACCTGCTGAAGCAAACACGTTCTTTGTGCCGAAAAGAACATCTTCATGAAAATCGTAAATTGAACAGTTGAAATAGGAAATAATATACTCAAGTGTACCAGCAAAAAAAAAATATATTGCATTAACAAAGAATGAAAAAATAATGAAAAATATACTTTGACACGTAACATTTTTATATTTATTTAACACTATTTTTTTACTTTTTACTCTTTTTTATTGAAAAAATATAAAATTTTAGTTCATTTTGTCTTTGTACTTTGTGTTAAATGAAGGTAAAAATATTTTACCTATCATTTCTTAAAAGTAATTATTTAAAAGAAGTGTCTATGTTTCTACACAGATAACAATTCTCGCATTGCTTGACTGAGCTCATGAATGTTTTTCAGTTTTTATTCGAACTTGAATCTGGAGACATGGCAGGAGAAATAGGTGTGATGTTTAATATTCCACAACCTTTTACAGTAAGAAGTAGAGGGCTGTCCCAGGTCATACGAATCAATCATCATCACTTCAAGCAGATGATGCAACCATTCAGTGACGATGGGAAGGCAATCATGTACAACTTTATTCAGGTTTGAAATTCACCATCAAACGATTAATTAATTTGCACACTTCTACACTAACCAAATATTATTGTCAATACATTATATCCAAATTTTGTATGGTTATCACAATTCACACGTCGACATGTAGATTTCCCAGCTGATGTTGGTTCTTCTATTCGCAGCATTTGAAGGGTCTCAAAAGCAAGGTGCTAGAAGAAATATCGTATGTGACAGAATTGCTGGGTTACCTTGAGGTATTTCTTTAATTTTGAAACATAAACATTTAATTAATGCGCCAATATAGAATATAAGAAAAGGATACACAAAATTCCTTGGATGGTAAACGTTGCATTGGCGATAAAACCTTAGGAAAACTTATTATCTGAGAAATTAAGAAAGGATGTATTGGATAAATTAAGAACAGAAGAAAAGGCCCTAAAAATAGAAAACTTCCCTTCGAATACCCTCCCTTCGTCGTTTTTTCCTACAGGGACCTTAAAGTTATCTGATGATGTGTGGATAATCCCTTTCTTTGAATTGAACGTATGTGCCGTTGAGATGCATGTTAACATCTCAAAGAAGATTTGATTGTATCATGTGTGGTGAACTAACTCAACAGCTTCCCGAAAGCTTATGGTGAAAGCACAAGAATAGTTTTATATTACATTTCAAGCATTTGATATCATAGATCGGCAAATGAATAAAGAATTCCTAAATATATAGTTTACACTCCATCAAGTAGAATTTATGGCACAGACAAATAAATCTATGATAATTTTGGCCACATATTTACGCATAAGAAATGCGAACAGTTTACACTCCATCAAGTAGAATTTATGGCACAGACAAATAAATCTATGATAATTTTGGCCACATATTTACGCATAAGAAATGCCAACAGTATACTCTCTAATTGCCTTTCCAAACACATTATTTTTGAGTGAACAATGGTTTTTAGACTATATGTGCTACTAGTAATCCAAATATGTGAATCGCTTCATATATGATGAGCACTGGTTTTTGCAGCATCTGAGACAAAATGAGGGTACACTTCATGAAGTTTCAAGATATCAAGATCCATATAAAGAAGGTAGCCTTGATCCACTATCTAGTTACAGAAATACGAAATTTTAATAGTCTAATCTATAGTGGTTAGACACGGTAGAGGAATTAAGAAAAAGAATCATCAGACACTAGGGGGTTCTGTAAATGACAACCCAAGAAACTTCATGTTCATTTCTGTCTGTGGATATGGATGCTGATTTATTGACATCCCAAACAGTGTAACATTCTCTTTACATTCCTTATTTCTCTTCGTCTTTTTCTTTTCTGGGTATAAAGCAAGGCACACAGTGCACAAGGTTGCCCCTCGGTAACCAAACTTCGGTCATGCATGAAAACACAATTCCTTCTTATAGCAAACAGATATATCTCCATTACCAATAAACAAGCAAGTTGCAACATTATTTCAGTTTGAGAAACAACTTGAACTCCACAATACAGGAAGGAACCTTTCGAAAAGTAGCCTAGGTTGCTTTATTTGTTTTCATTGCTTGATCAGTGTCCAAAAAATGAACATGCTATGGAATTCATCAATTTACCTGCTTACCTAAAGTACCGGCATAGACTCATGCTACTTACTAATTGCAGGAAAAACAGGAAATTCCAAACCACTGAGAAGCCCAGTCCCCGTTAGAGTTACAATCCACGGACACCATCCCAATGAAAACAAAACGGGAAATGGATCAACGCCAAAGCTCATACTTCTCCCAAATTCGATAGAAGATATTTTCAGACTTGCAGGTATGATTACATTCAACATGCATGCATGCCTCCAAAGGATTCTCAGCGTTTCATGATTAAATGACATCAATTACAGAAAATAACCTAATCACCAAATAATCTGAAATCCCTTCTTTGCCCGCATTCCACACAGACAGGGCTCGTTATTTAAAGCCTTTACGTTCAGCAACAGAAATATATTGGACAAAAAAATTATTATGCTTTCGCACTTGTGCTCATAGAACTGAACATACTGAGGTAACAACAAATTCAATAGGATAACTAAGTTGATTGGAGCCTTGTCTACGCAGAGAGAAAATTCGGAAAAAGAGGAAGCAAAATTCTCATGGCTGACGGCACAGAAGTAGAACAATTAAACGCGATAAGGGAGACTGATGAGTTGTATATCCTCTAATGATCAAACTAAACAGAGATTAACAATGTGCTCTGGTCATTTCGGTACGTATCCGTTTCAGGCGGCAATCTACTTAATCAAACAAGATATATGGGAATACAATGTATAAAACTGAAAAATGTAGAACGATACCTAGAGCGCTTTACTCTCTGTTGAGGATGTCAAGAACAGCATAAGCAGCTTTTTGAAAGTTATCTCTATCTTCGTTTAAGGCTCTTTTCCTCTCAAGAGCAGAACCTTTGCACTTCTCTATCTCCTCCTCTATAACTGCAGAATTATGATTGATTTCACTGCACAGAATAAACAAATCGCCGTTTAAATTCAAGAGCATAAATTAATCACAAGTTTTGACCGAAATCGTAATGAATAAATAGTAACTGTACTGAAAATGTTAGGTAACTGACGTGATCGTCTTAAGCATGTTCTCCATGATCTCTTGGACTTCATTTGATATCTCTGCACGGTTTAGCAGAACAAACAGAAAACGAAGTAAACACGAGGAATTCGTCAATCAATCGAACCATGCAGTGCTCAGAATTGGATTACAATAAACACACGAAATCATTATAGTTCATTACAAGTGAAAGATCGCATCGCGTCACGCGTGGTTTGAGTTAACAATTAGGTTTAATATTTGCATTTGCATAGATTGTTAAACCTCAAGTTTCATGAATGCCGATGAATTATTACAACGGAAGCTGGAAGGAGCAGTTAAGACTCACCGTAGATGAGAGAAGAAAGGTGATTTTCGGATTCTACTTCTGTAGTTATTAGCTCTGAGGACGACATCGATGTGAACCTTGCTTCGAGCGAAATGGCAAATATACGCGCGCTTTGAATTCATTTTCAAATTATGACATGTGCATATATATATATATATATATATATATATATACGGGTTAAAAAAGGAAATTAATTTATTTAACATGAGCCTTTTTACCTTTTTACCCACGGCGGGCTTCATTTTCTTCAGGCCCAGCTTGTTTAGCAAGTTGTTTTGACAATGTCCTATCGGCCCGTCACAAAATTTAGTTTTTCTCGTTGCAAGATAAATATTTTGGTTTAATCCTTGATTTTTAATAAGTTTTATTATTTTATTTTAATTTAATTTAATTCTACACATAAACATATAATTTAATGAATCATAAAAATAATTTCATTAATTAAAGTATAAAAAAACTAAACATTAGACCAAAATTACATTTAAAAAAAAACAGATCAAGTTCTCTAATAAAAATTGACACCAGTGGCATTTGTATTTTTTAAGAAAACTATCAAATAATATTTGATAATGTTCCCTTCTAATAAGATATTATTGAGATAAAATTATTGCGTTAAATATTTTAAAGGTGATACAAATTTAAAAGGTTTGTTTTCTCTCCTTTTGCTTAAGAAATAAGGTATTTGAACCTTCCCACCTTTGAGACTTTTTGTCCTTAACCGAAGACGGAAATAAAATAGTCTACTTTCCGTCAAATAGTTTAATTCGAGACTTTACCAAAAACAAGATTATATCTCTGGCAGACAAATCTGTGGCATCTGGAACAAATCTAGTAAATTAGTATTAAGCAGAAAGATTACTTGAGTGGTACCCTTCCATGTTCACGTGTATTCGTAACCTAACCAAATGCAGTGCCCACAAAACAATACAAATTGCCTTAGAATAGTATTTCATAATTCCCCGCAAGAATTTTTGGGTACTTGGGAACATAGGAAGCCTCACTAGACGTTACAAAACATGGTGGTGCCAAATAATTAACTAACTATAGTCTCATACTGTACATGATGATGACGGCAAAAAATAATTTTTATTTTTAAATTTCATGAAATGGTGGCTAATATATTAGTGTTTATTTCGTGTCATTTATCGAATCTGTCGGATAAAGCTCCAACATGTTTATGTTTGTTTAGTAAGGAAATAATGAAGGACTCCTTTTATCCCGCTTTTGTTCATTGTTATCTTAAGAAATTGATAGTTTTTTGTTTTAAAGTATAAAGTAATTATATTAAATAGACATGATTAATTGAGATATATTAACACATTGGGCTTACTTAAATGTCTCGCGAATTGTAAGAATATGATAAAGAACTTTTTTAAGACGATTGGCCTTTTAAATTAATTTTTTTTAAGTTCGCCTTTTTATAAGCCTATGGCAGTGTCTAGCAAATATTTGTTGAAAGTACTAAGGTAAGTCTGTTTTAAATTTTCAGTCAATATTTGAGATGATAAGTGACGTTTTTTTTTTACTTTTTTATCTTTTACACATTGTCTTAATTGTGATTTTTTTAATATTGGTGAAGGATAAAGGAAAAATAACATAGTTGAAATCCTATTTTTGAAAGCATACTTCATATGATATTTTCTTTAAACAATTAATTAATAGTGATAACCTTATGTTATTTGCAACTTGAAAAAAGGTTGTATATGCGAGGTTATTAGACCAAACAATTATGTCATGTTTATAGCACCAAAAGAATATAAACATAATATATAATATAACATCATTAATATGACTATTGAATTTATAAGAATTAAACATAATTTTTTATATTGTTCTTCGGCATATTTATTTAAATAATTCACAAACATATTTATTTTCACTTTAACATAATTTATTTTGAAATTATTTCACATACATATATTATAAAATCAATATAAAATATGTCAAATATACAATAACAAAATTATTAAATTGCAATATTAAAATTATTGGATATATAAATATTTAAAATATCATCTGATATAAGTTGAATGTTCATTAACACACTCACCACTATACTGAAGACTAGATGTGTTACATTATCTTTAAGCATAAACTTGTCAAAAAAAATATGTATATGGAAGTTTTTGCATCCGAAATGATTAAACCCAAACAATTACATATCGTAAAGGCAATTGTAATATATTACTAAATATAAAATATAATATTAAATATTATTCGTCCTTACATTTTCTACAGACAATGCTTTAACTATTGTGTACATGGCTCTTTTTTCAACAATAGAAGCTGAATTATATTAAAGTGATAAATAAGCTGAAAAAGAGAACGCTAATGAAATTAGTATTTCTAACAATGGGGAATATTAATTGACCTTGCTTTTAAAAATTCAAGATGATTTAGTACAATTTTCTCATGCCTGTAGTTTTATTCAAAATAACTTAAAAAATAACAAAATTATCAGTCAAATGTTTATACAAATACACTAGAGCTATTGCTTATAGAAACTTTGAAATATTCGTTGATAACAAAAAAAAAAACATTAAAAATAGTTAATATTGTTAGACATTTTGTNATCATTGTGTGCAAATTATTGTACTCAAACTAATTATTAATATTAACAAATTTAAATATACGAGGGAAAGTGTAGATAAGATCATATGGTGGTGATAAAAGGTGACAAAAGAAATATAAAGAAGAATAAGGAATGTTTGTAGATTATACAAGTACTATCAATCATCCATTAAGCAGAAAAAGAAATGATCAGGATTTCCTATCTGTAACTGAAACTGAAAACCCTTTCCCAGGCTAGAGAAAGACATACGAATCAATTATTCTGCAACAAGATTTTGCAAACTTATATGTGTAAGGAAATTTCTAAATCTTTTGTTTTTGAGCTTATCTTCATTTAGCATTTTTTTATTAATGTAGTAAGCTCGTCCATGCTTCCTATTTCATTTGGTTTATCACAGGTTACACTATTTGCAGCACACTTCGCAGGCTGCATGTTTTTTTGGTTGGCTGTCCAGCACAAGACACCGAAACACACATGGATCGGGAACAAAACACAGGATTTTCATGAATTGGGCGTCGGGTTGGGTTACACTTATTCTGTGTACTGGTCTGTTTCAACCCTTACCACCGTTGGATATGGAGATTTTTATGCAGTAAATTTAACGGAGATGCTTTTCTCCATTTTTTACATGCTCTTTAACATCGGCCTCGGAGCATATATTATTGGAAACATGACAACTCTGTTGGTTCATAGCTCTGTCGGAACCTTTGCCGTGGTAAGTGTTACGACGACTTCTATGATCGTTTAACTCTTAGCTTTACATTTGATAACCCTTAACGCAGTAATCATGCTTCTAATAAAAGACTTATCTGAATGGCTATACCAAAAGATCATGACAGCTTCACAATTTCCTCTTTTTATACCATCATCTAACAACTATATATTATTATTATTATTTTCTTTTAAAATATATATTATTATTACAATTTTCTTTTAAAATTTATATATATTTTTTAAAATCAAAAAGTGGTTGCCAAATATAAAAGTAGGTGTTAAATGATAATTTCCCTGCCAAAAACTAATACATTTTACCTCCAGGCTTCACAGAGGGATGTCTTCAACAAAATATTACAGTATGCAAACAAAAATAGACTCCCGGGACGATTAAAGGAGCAAATATTGGCACACATGCAATTGAAATTTAAGACTGCAGAGTTACAGCAAGAAGTGTTACAAGACCTACCTAAAACTATAAGATCCAGTATTGCTCAGCATCTTTTCAAAAACATTGTTGAAACAGCATATTTATTCAAAGGAGTTTCTGATTATTTTATCACTCAGCTGGTAAAACTTCTTGTTTCAGTTCTCTTCTCTTTTTCCTCTAGGTAGCGATATTTTGAACATCTCAACAGTAACCAAATTTGAAATCATGACACTAAACAAACAGGTCTCAGAAACAAAGGCAGAATACTACCCATCTAAGGTTGACATTATCTTGCAAAATGAGATGCCAAAATATTTCTACATCTTGTTATCTGGGTCACTGGTAAAAATCTATTGCGTATTCAAATCCTACCCTCTTAACAAGGTTTAACTGCTAACTAACTGAACTATTCCGCAGGATGTGTTGATATACAATACTGGGTCTGAACAGGTAAGATGAGATCTGCCAAGCGATTAATTTAAGGGTATATATAACATATTCAAAAGAAAGTAAAGAGGTAATAACTCCTAGATACCTAGTGAATGGAAAGAGTAGTGCATAAACCACTACAAAGCATCACGCCGGAGAAAATGTTTCAACTTTAAAGAGGATAAAATATTAGTCTCATTTAGACTAAAGATATAATAACAATTGATTTGCATCTGAAATCAGGGAATCCTTGTATTAAATATTAGATATAAGAACACGTCTGAACTATAGAGAATAAAAGAATTTCATAGACCGCATGACATTCACAACTAATGTGTTAACCTGAGTATAAGTCATTTTGGAAGATCAGGTTTTCTTGACAAAATAAGAAGCTTTTTTCAATATTCTAGCTCTGCCCGATAACCTGCTGAAGCAAACACGTTCTTTGTGCCGAAAAGAACATCTTCATGAAAATCGTAAATTGAACAGTTGAAATAGGAAATAATATACTCAAGTGTACCAGCAAAAAAAAAATATATTGCATTAACAAAGAATGAAAAAATAATGAAAAATATACTTTGACACGTAACATTTTTATATTTATTTAACACTATTTTTTTACTTTTTACTCTTTTTTATTGAAAAAATATAAAATTTTAGTTCATTTTGTCTTTGTACTTTGTGTTAAATGAAGGTAAAAATATTTTACCTATCATTTCTTAAAAGTAATTATTTAAAAGAAGTGTCTATGTTTCTACACAGATAACAATTCTCGCATTGCTTGACTGAGCTCATGAATGTTTTTCAGTTTTTATTCGAACTTGAATCTGGAGACATGGCAGGAGAAATAGGTGTGATGTTTAATATTCCACAACCTTTTACAGTAAGAAGTAGAGGGCTGTCCCAGGTCATACGAATCAATCATCATCACTTCAAGCAGATGATGCAACCATTCAGTGACGATGGGAAGGCAATCATGTACAACTTTATTCAGGTTTGAAATTCACCATCAAACGATTAATTAATTTGCACACTTCTACACTAACCAAATATTATTGTCAATACATTATATCCAAATTTTGTATGGTTATCACAATTCACACGTCGACATGTAGATTTCCCAGCTGATGTTGGTTCTTCTATTCGCAGCATTTGAAGGGTCTCAAAAGCAAGGTGCTAGAAGAAATATCGTATGTGACAGAATTGCTGGGTTACCTTGAGGTATTTCTTTAATTTTGAAACATAAACATTTAATTAATGCGCCAATATAGAATATAAGAAAAGGATACACAAAATTCCTTGGATGGTAAACGTTGCATTGGCGATAAAACCTTAGGAAAACTTATTATCTGAGAAATTAAGAAAGGATGTATTGGATAAATTAAGAACAGAAGAAAAGGCCCTAAAAATAGAAAACTTCCCTTCGAATACCCTCCCTTCGTCGTTTTTTCCTACAGGGACCTTAAAGTTATCTGATGATGTGTGGATAATCCCTTTCTTTGAATTGAACGTATGTGCCGTTGAGATGCATGTTAACATCTCAAAGAAGATTTGATTGTATCATGTGTGGTGAACTAACTCAACAGCTTCCCGAAAGCTTATGGTGAAAGCACAAGAATAGTTTTATATTACATTTCAAGCATTTGATATCATAGATCGGCAAATGAATAAAGAATTCCTAAATATATAGTTTACACTCCATCAAGTAGAATTTATGGCACAGACAAATAAATCTATGATAATTTTGGCCACATATTTACGCATAAGAAATGCGAACAGTTTACACTCCATCAAGTAGAATTTATGGCACAGACAAATAAATCTATGATAATTTTGGCCACATATTTACGCATAAGAAATGCCAACAGTATACTCTCTAATTGCCTTTCCAAACACATTATTTTTGAGTGAACAATGGTTTTTAGACTATATGTGCTACTAGTAATCCAAATATGTGAATCGCTTCATATATGATGAGCACTGGTTTTTGCAGCATCTGAGACAAAATGAGGGTACACTTCATGAAGTTTCAAGATATCAAGATCCATATAAAGAAGGTAGCCTTGATCCACTATCTAGTTACAGAAATACGAAATTTTAATAGTCTAATCTATAGTGGTTAGACACGGTAGAGGAATTAAGAAAAAGAATCATCAGACACTAGGGGGTTCTGTAAATGACAACCCAAGAAACTTCATGTTCATTTCTGTCTGTGGATATGGATGCTGATTTATTGACATCCCAAACAGTGTAACATTCTCTTTACATTCCTTATTTCTCTTCGTCTTTTTCTTTTCTGGGTATAAAGCAAGGCACACAGTGCACAAGGTTGCCCCTCGGTAACCAAACTTCGGTCATGCATGAAAACACAATTCCTTCTTATAGCAAACAGATATATCTCCATTACCAATAAACAAGCAAGTTGCAACATTATTTCAGTTTGAGAAACAACTTGAACTCCACAATACAGGAAGGAACCTTTCGAAAAGTAGCCTAGGTTGCTTTATTTGTTTTCATTGCTTGATCAGTGTCCAAAAAATGAACATGCTATGGAATTCATCAATTTACCTGCTTACCTAAAGTACCGGCATAGACTCATGCTACTTACTAATTGCAGGAAAAACAGGAAATTCCAAACCACTGAGAAGCCCAGTCCCCGTTAGAGTTACAATCCACGGACACCATCCCAATGAAAACAAAACGGGAAATGGATCAACGCCAAAGCTCATACTTCTCCCAAATTCGATAGAAGATATTTTCAGACTTGCAGGTATGATTACATTCAACATGCATGCATGCCTCCAAAGGATTCTCAGCGTTTCATGATTAAATGACATCAATTACAGAAAATAACCTAATCACCAAATAATCTGAAATCCCTTCTTTGCCCGCATTCCACACAGACAGGGCTCGTTATTTAAAGCCTTTACGTTCAGCAACAGAAATATATTGGACAAAAAAATTATTATGCTTTCGCACTTGTGCTCATAGAACTGAACATACTGAGGTAACAACAAATTCAATAGGATAACTAAGTTGATTGGAGCCTTGTCTACGCAGAGAGAAAATTCGGAAAAAGAGGAAGCAAAATTCTCATGGCTGACGGCACAGAAGTAGAACAATTAAACGCGATAAGGGAGACTGATGAGTTGTATATCCTCTAATGATCAAACTAAACAGAGATTAACAATGTGCTCTGGTCATTTCGGTACGTATCCGTTTCAGGCGGCAATCTACTTAATCAAACAAGATATATGGGAATACAATGTATAAAACTGAAAAATGTAGAACGATACCTAGAGCGCTTTACTCTCTGTTGAGGATGTCAAGAACAGCATAAGCAGCTTTTTGAAAGTTATCTCTATCTTCGTTTAAGGCTCTTTTCCTCTCAAGAGCAGAACCTTTGCACTTCTCTATCTCCTCCTCTATAACTGCAGAATTATGATTGATTTCACTGCACAGAATAAACAAATCGCCGTTTAAATTCAAGAGCATAAATTAATCACAAGTTTTGACCGAAATCGTAATGAATAAATAGTAACTGTACTGAAAATGATTAGGTAACTGACGTGATCGTCTTAAGCATGTTCTCCATGATCTCTTGGACTTCATTTGATATCTCTGCACGGTTTAGCAGAACAAACAGAAAACGAAGTAAACACGAGGAATTCGTCAATCAATCGAACCATGCAGTGCTCAGAATTGGATTACAATAAACACACGAAATCATTATAGTTCATTACAAGTGAAAGATCGCATCGCGTCACGCGTGGTTTGAGTTAACAATTAGGTTTAATATTTGCATTTGCATAGATTGTTAAACCTCAAGTTTCATGAATGCCGATGAATTATTACAACGGAAGCTGGAAGGAGCAGTTAAGACTCACCGTAGATGAGAGAAGAAAGGTGATTTTCGGATTCTACTTCTGTAGTTATTAGCTCTGAGGACGACATCGATGTGAACCTTGCTTCGAGCGAAATGGCAAATATACGCGCGCTTTGAATTCATTTTCAAATTATGACATGTGCATATATATATACGGGTTAAAAAAGGAAATTAATTTATTTAACATGAGCCTTTTTACCTTTTTACCCACGGCGGGCTTCATTTTCTTCAGGCCCAGCTTGTTTAGCAAGTTGTTTTGACAATGTCCTATCGGCCCGTCACAAAATTTAGTTTTTCTCGTTGCAAGATAAATATTTTGGTTTAATCCTTGATTTTTAATAAGTTTTATTATTTTATTTTAATTTAATTTAATTCTACACATAAACATATAATTTAATGAATCATAAAAATAATTTCATTAATTAAAGTATAAAAAAACTAAACATTAGACCAAAATTACATTTAAAAAAAAACAGATCAAGTTCTCTAATAAAAATTGACACCAGTGGCATTTGTATTTTTTAAGAAAACTATCAAATAATATTTGATAATGTTCCCTTCTAATAAGATATTATTGAGATAAAATTATTGTTTCTGCGTTAAATATTTTAAAGGTGATACAAATTTAAAAGGTTTGTTTTCTCTCCTTTTGCTTAAGAAATAAGGTATTTGAACCTTCCCACCTTTGAGACTTTTTGTCCTTAACCGAAGACGGAAATAAAATAGTCTACTTTCCGTCAAATAGTTTAATTCGAGACTTTACCAAAAACAAGATTATATCTCTGGCAGACAAATCTGTGGCATCTGGAACAAATCTAGTAAATTAGTATTAAGCAGAAAGATTACTTGAGTGGTACCCTTCCATGTTCACGTGTATTCGTAACCTAACCAAATGCAGTGCCCACAAAACAATACAAATTGCCTTAGAATAGTATTTCATAATTCCCCGCAAGAATTTTTGGGTACTTGGGAACATAGGAAGCCTCACTAGACGTTACAAAACATGGTGGTGCCAAATAATTAACTAACTATAGTCTCATACTGTACATGATGATGACGGCAAAAAATAATTTTTATTTTTAAATTTCATGAAATGGTGGCTAATATATTAGTGTTTATTTCGTGTCATTTATCGAATCTGTCGGATAAAGCTCCAACATGTTTATGTTTGTTTAGTAAGGAAATAATGAAGGACTCCTTTTATCCCGCTTTTGTTCATTGTTATCTTAAGAAATTGATAGTTTTTTGTTTTAAAGTATAAAGTAATTATATTAAATAGACATGATTAATTGAGATATATTAACACATTGGGCTTACTTAAATGTCTCGCGAATTGTAAGAATATGATAAAGAACTTTTTTAAGACGATTGGCCTTTTAAATTAATTTTTTTTAAGTTCGCCTTTTTATAAGCCTATGGCAGTGTCTAGCAAATATTTGTTGAAAGTACTAAGGTAAGTCTGTTTTAAATTTTCAGTCAATATTTGAGATGATAAGTGACGTTTTTTTTTTACTTTTTTATCTTTTACACATTGTCTTAATTGTGATTTTTTTAATATTGGTGAAGGATAAAGGAAAAATAACATAGTTGAAATCCTATTTTTGAAAGCATACTTCATATGATATTTTCTTTAAACAATTAATTAATAGTGATAACCTTATGTTATTTGCAACTTGAAAAAAGGTTGTAAATGCGAGGTTATTAGACCAAACAATTATGTCATGTTTATAGTCACCAAAAGAATATAAACATAATATATAATATAACATCATTAATATGACTATTGAATTTATAAGAATTAAACATAATTTTTTATATTGTTCTTCGGCATATTTATTTAAATAATTCACAAACATATTTATTTTCACTTTAACATAATTTATTTTGAAATTATTTCACATACATATATTATAAAATCAATATAAAATATGTCAAATATACAATAACAAAATTATTAAATTGCAATATTAAAATTATTGGATATATAAATATTTAAAATATCATCTGATATAAGTTGAATGTTCATTAACACACTCACCACTATACTGAAGACTAGATGTGTTACATTATCTTTAAGCATAAACTTGTCAAAAAAAATATGTATATGGAAGTTTTTGCATCCGAAATGATTAAACCCAAACAATTACATATCGTAAAGGCAATTGTAATATATTACTAAATATAAAATATAATATTAAATATTATTCGTCCTTACATTTTCTACAGACAATGCTTTAACTATTGTGTACATGGCTCTTTTTTCAACAATAGAAGCTGAATTATATTAAAGTGATAAATAAGCTGAAAAAGAGAACGCTAATGAAATTAGTATTTCTAACAATGGGGAATATTAATTGACCTTGCTTTTAAAAATTCAAGATGATTTAGTACAATTTTCTCATGCCTGTAGTTTTATTCAAAATAACTTAAAAAATAACAAAATTATCAGTCAAATGTTTATACAAATACACTAGAGCTATTGCTTATAGAAACTTTGAAATATTCGTTGATAACAAAAAAAAAAACATTAAAAATAGTTAATATTGTTAGACATTTTGTGTGTACAATTGTCTTTGAGCTATAAATCAGTTTACATAAATTATTGTATTTTTAATTATCAAATACTCATGCTACATTTACTATAAAAATTATTATAATTATTGGTGAATTTTTACCAACGGTTAATGATTCGTCGATAAACAAATTTACTAAAAATAAATACTCATCGATAAATTTATAGCTTGTCAATAATAAACTTCGTTGTTTACCGATAAATATATTTGTGGATAAACATTGTCAATTATTAATAATTATTAATGACAAATGATGATTGTGGATAAATTCTTCAAGATTATGAAATTAGAATTCGGTTTTCTTCTTCTTTATTTTCGTTTTCCATAGAAACCCTCTTCATTAACCTCCCCCAATCCCAATCCAAAACCCCATACGACGATGGACGTTGGTGGTGCAGCGTACACAATACTGGTAACGTTGACGATGGCAGGACGCTAGTGGTACGACCCTGGTGATGCTAGTGGCGCGATGTTATTTTGTGTTTTTTCTATGGCAATTGTATGTGTTGTATTTACTACCATAACACGAACAATGATGGGTTATATAATTTTGCAGATATATATTTTCCAGAAAAAGTTTAACTAATATTTTAAAATTCAGAAATCTAAACCCAACCATAATTAAATCTACCTCTGTGTGTGATGCATGTCTATGTACAGTGAAATTTATATTACAATTTTTTTTTTTCAAAAGCATGTGTATAAATTTAAGAAACTGGCAAACGATGATCTTGAATAATAAACTCGAATAACTTACAGAATAAGATATACACACGCTGGGCCAGAATAATAAAGTAGTAAAATTACATGACTTGAAAGAGTCTGTGAATGCTATGCTACTATAATTATAGTATTTTGACAAATAAAATGTTATATTTAATATGCTTAATGTTATGTAAATATAAAGGCGTGTGTGTTAATAATAATCAGAATGAAATGTTTAGAATAATTTAGTTAAATTTTATATTTTAAAATGTAAACAGAGGAATAAATAATATGTGAAGGAAATTAATGCAATAAATTGATGGGTTGTAAAGGGTGTCAGCTGAAGCTATAGAGCTATAATTGAACCTTGGAAGATGACTTGTTTTTCACCCATTCAGAAATAGGCCGGCGGAAATAGGGTAAGTGGGGTTTCAATTGATACCCTCTATCTTCAAAAATTGAGAGAAAATATTGTGTGTCAGACTCTTAATTTAAAACCATCGGTTGGAATTAAATGTTGTACACTATGACTTGATCCATCAAATAAATGCAATTTAATTTATGATTATTTGCTTCACGATAACTCATAATTGATTTGAGACTTAACACAATAGCTGATTCATCTATAACATTGTTAATTAACTCTGGTAGACTTCTGTGCAAGTATAGAACTAATATAGCACTAATCATTTATATTTGAATTTGGGTCAAAGGTATATCTATTGAGTGTTTTAGAGATGCATTCATCAGAGGGCAAATAAACAATTATGTGAAAAAAAATTATAAAACAAAGAAATAAGAAATGGGTATTTTTTCCTATCTTACATTTGATTATAATGTTTTTGTTTTTTTTTTTAATTTATTTTACTGTTAGAGTAAATGATAATATCGTTTGATTAAGCATGTTTGCAAGAAAATGACAAAGATTCAAAGGAGAGAGAGAGAGAGTTGATTTTGTATTTTCACTAAAACGAACAGACTTGCTAAAGAGGGAGAGTTTAATTACCGAATCATATTTCTGTTTTTCAATTACTATTTTTTTTGCATTTTACGTGAACATATTCATGTATTGGAAAGAATCGATTTTCACGTTTGATAATTGATTATTTTGTAACAGAAAAACCAATTGGTGTTTTTTTGCAACGGGTAATGCTTATGCGTGGTTGAATGTTGGGAAGGAGTTACTCGTTAGTGGTGGATGCGTATATTAGGAAGAAGAAAACAAAATATTCTGATTGTCTTGGGTGTTACTCTTTTGTGATTGTTATGGTGTTGTTATTGTGAGTAGGAGAAAGAATAAAACAATGAACGTGAGTGCACTAGTGCAGCGAGGGGCTTTTACCGCGGTTCATTTTCACTATACGTCGCGCTTTAAGAACCGCGGCATATTCAGCCGCGGTAGTAAGTCAGACACTTTAGGCCGCGGTTATAACCGCGGTATATAGGTTGAGGAATATGCCGCGGTTGTCGAGGGAACCGCTACCTAAAAGCCATTTCTTTAAAAAAAAATTAAAAAATCCACTATATGCCGCGGTTCAACCGCGGCAAAAGACGGAAGAATATGCCGCGGTTAGTGTTAAAACCGCGGCCATATGTCTCGTTTTTAAAAAAAAACGAAACACTATATGCCACGGTTGTGGTTAGAACCGCGGCATATTCCCCTGCAGTTTTTTAAAATTGCAGGTCTGTTTTTGTGATATCCACTACCACAAAAACAGACCTGCATATAAAAACATGTACACAAATTCAATTTGAACATAACAAACACATGTTGTATAGCATCTTAGAAAACCATCACATATAAGATGTTCTCTAATTTGAGTTGCGTTCAACTTTCTCCCATTCAAACAGTTCACACAAGGACATCTAAACTTCACTTCATCATCACTTCTCCCCTCATTACGTTGCGCAAATTGTATAAATTCCTCTACACC